TAGTATGCTGGATACCTAGTAGATACCTATATAGATAGCTAATAAATAGTATGTAGAATATATATTTTGCATAAGACAATAAACATCTTGACACACAGACGTAATCCTCCATAGTATTTTATTTTGTCATATTTTAATTCCCAAGGGAATAAGCTACACAATGCCTAATCCCCCCTTCGTGATATACAATGTCAACAATATGTTAAGTCTGGTTCACAGAAAGACATAAGCATAACATAAGAAGAAAAAAATATTTCTTATGTCTTTGTGTGAACCAGACTGTTTACATGAGTAATCAGGTACAAAACATTTAAGGGGAGTCTCCATGTAATTTCCTTTGTTCTCATTCAGTGTTGCGTCTCCTGTGTCGCTTAAAGTGAAGAAACAAGGAGACTTCCCTTAACTGGTTTGTGACCGATCACTCTGACAAACTACTTACGATATTAGTACTTGACTTTGAAGTTTTGATTGACAAGTCTTAATTTATCAGTTTACTTGACGTTCTTATTTTCTAGAGTATGAAATGTCGCAAGCACTGGTTGAAACGCCAAGTAAATTGATAAATCAAGACTTGTCATCCAGAGATTTCTAGTCAAGTTTATATATGATCCATATGTGAATATACTCAAAGGTCCATGGGTATCTGAGAATGTTGCATATTACAATGGAAGAGGGTCTCAGATGCACTTGGGCCTCTAACCATTAAAATATGTTTTAGCCAGACTGTGAAATAGTGAAGCTTATATAGCCACAGATGTCCTCGAGAGACCATTTTGTTATTGAATAATATAAGCATCACATAAATTTAGAGTGAATGTTGTTTAGCTATGGAGGTACTGTGTTATCAGCCACGTAAGATGTTTAAGGTAGTCTATTATAGCTGCATGTTCAATTGTAGAAACAACATTTAAATGGATATGTACCAATTCTGCGTAGTTAAGAGGAATGTCATGAAAAATCTTGAAATATTAGGCAACTTTTTCTCAACAGTTTCACACATGCAGACAATAATACACCACCCAATCACTTCTCTACTTCACAGTCTGGTGATAAACACTTGTGAAAGAACAGCCTGGTTTTCACTTGGGTGCAGGCAAAACACAGGATACACAGCATTACCACATGAACACTAACATTAGAGTAACTTTCATAAAACTGTGAGAATACATCAAGGATAATAACCATTAGTGAAATAGGTTGTAATAGTACATCATTCATTAGGAAAAACAAAATGAAAATCATTGAAAAAAAGAGAGGGAAAATAGTGTGCTGAGTGTATTTCACAAGTTTACGAAAACAAACCTAATGCAGTGAAAACTGGATGTAATGCAGGCTAGTATAAAATAGAAAATTGTTATTTAAGTCATGCATAAGACATGACATAAGGATAGCATAATGTCAAGCATAGGCAAATAAATGTAAAATTAATTAAAAAATAATTGTAAATTAAATCAACTTGTAAATTAAATCAGGTTAAAAAGAAACCAAAAATAACGATACCAAAGATAGAAATGTATTGCCTATGCTTACATCAACAGAGCCAAAAACAAGAAAAACACAAATAACAAACTTCACTAGAGGGAAAAGATGCAACGTGGCAGGGTACTCAAGACTTAGGTAAAGTTCAAATACCAGATTAATGAAAAAATTCAAATCTTGCAATRCGCATCAATGTATCAAATGCACAGAAAATCAATGCAAAAAGATACTTGAACTTTACCTTGATATGAAAGGATGTTCAAAGTAAGAGATGGATGGAAAAAAAGTGGGAAATTTAGAAGGCAGACTGGACAGGAAGGTTTACCAAGATCTGTTTGTCTTGGTGGGAAAAAGATGGGAATAGATTGTTTTATTGTTGGGGAAAAAATCAGCAGTGCTGAATCCAACAGGTTGGCTTGTTCCCTGGCAATTGCAAACATGACCTGCAAATAATAATATCAGCAATAAGAGATCAAATATCATGAACCTGGTTATCTTTTTTATAGAAGTTGCTAAACTCTACTTGGGAAGGAGTTAATACCATCAGGTAAGATGACAGACGTCTTTTAAAAATCTGACAGCGTTCTGTTAAGAAGAAACCACAGGCTGGACTYATAAGGAAAGAAAGAAATATGGTGTAATGGTTAACAGTTTTAGTGTATATTTTGTATGAGTATGAAACTSACTATAACAGTAGACAATTAAAATAAAATACAAAAATGTATTTAAAAAAGAACAAATGAAAAACAGCTATGAATGAAAATGCCAGTCAGTTTTCCACCTCATACAAATGCAATTATATGAATACCAACAAGGGAGGACATGTGTGGAGTTATTCCCACCTAGACCTCACAATAAATCAATAAAAAATATCATTATCACTGGTAGCCCATTTCACCTAAAACAAGCAGATACAAGCTCAAGAAATAGTCTAGATAGACATTATCAGAACATTATATCATAGACAATGATTAAATAGTGATTAACAAGGCTACTATATCAATAAGCAAAGTGCAATGAGTGATATATTGCAGCACAGAACCTGGAGGGTTTCCGAGGTCAGAAATCGACAAACAACATCAATATGAAATGTACAAGTATAAACATTGCACTGAAATAGACATGATAGCATGATTCATAAAATTAATGTATGATTTTTAAAATAAAATACCTTTTAAACAGTGTAATTTCTCGAATTTCTTCTTGTATCTGTTCGTCGTTTATTTGACGAGGTGATGGCGGACATCGGCGGACATGTGCTTGTATGCGCGGTTAGGCCTGGGCAAGCAAGGAACGCCTAGAAGAAGATGCAGCAAAAATAATAATAAAAAAAACAAGAAAAATAAATTCCAGCTTCAGACTACGTCTCACTCAATAAAGATTAAACAAAAACGGCACGGTGACGAAAATGTTTTAGAATGAGACGTGGTCTGATGTGGGAATCACGCACATGATGCAAATATCAGAAATAAGAATATCAAATGAAACTCTACTGCAGCTACAATTATGCCTTGGAAAATAAGGTAAGTTGATGCTATTTTATAAATGCTGATTGTTAAAGTTTAGTTGNAATAAACTTAATGTATTGGAAAGCTTAAACAATTTGAAACAAGAATTTTAAGGAATAAATTAGAAAAAGGCCTTGTTTCGTGGAACGCCTGGGACATTTCACGACATGTCAATTACCACAGGGAACCCGCAAATCATTCAATATTGAAATAAATTTGGTGAAAATATATATATTGCCATTCTAATATAAATCGAATTTGGAATCTTTGCAAAAGGAAATAGCTTTAAAAAAAATACACCTACTAAAATACCTAATATATTATTCTTATATAAATTTAAAGAAAATAATCTAATTTGCATCATATATATAAGTAATCCCTTGGTAAAAAAACATTCATTTTCTTGACTTTTGAATCATTSCTTGCCTTTCATATTTGACAATATTACTTTGATCTTACCTTRGTCCAGCAACTCATCCAGCATTTATCACGGAGTCACAATAATTAAAACAATCGTTCCTTAGCAACCAAGCCAGGCCAAAGGAAGCCCAGACACACAGGTATCCCATAGAAAGGTGTCACAACTATATTACAACCCATCTACACCCCAAAATCAGAAAGAAAAAAAACACACATTTTTGATCTATCAACAATTTATTACTCAATCTATCTTAATCTTTTAATATTTTTTACTAATTATCCTTTTTAATGATGCTGAAGTAGATCAAAACTTAAACCTTTACTAAATTTGTGYGGTTAATTGTCCAGATTGTGATAGAGCTTGCATTTCAAAAAGCAAATGATCACCCTTAATGCTTTGGGATCATTTTTTTTTTTATATTTGAAAAGAAGTGCTTGTTTCTGATTGGTCAGTCTAGCCATACAAGCTTTGATTGATTTTGTAGTTTGTATATTCATTTTTAATTATACAAGGTGCCAAAGCATCAAGGGTAATACTGGCTTCTTAAACTGATCATAAGTAAAGGCAATAAGCCTATGAAGCAGGAATGTTAATAGCAGAATATTAGCAGAATATCATAATTAGTATTACCATACTAGTGGACTATTGCAAATCCTTCATTCTGATTGGCTACGCTACTCGGGGTCTATTTTCAATAGTCCCCAACTAGCGAAAAGCAACAACTTCTTGTGTATTTTTAGTGCAAAAACATATATTTTAGTTATTTTCATTCATTTTTTGCCCAACTAGTTATGGTAATACTAAAACAATTAGATCTCGAGGGCAAGTGGACTACGAGCTGATTATAGCCCATGAGGCACACATTATTAATTTTATTCATGAAACAACTCGTGCTAGCTTTCCATTATTCACTGTATTTTAGCTTCAACTAAATAGGAAATTACTCWGGTATAATACCTGAAGGCAATACAGTGAGGCCACAGACTTATWATTTCATGGATGCATGTATAAATAATATGTTCATACAATTCATCTTAACTATGTAAATTTATATAATAATGAAATGACTCATAAAACTTACCTTTGAAGTTGCTTCCATCTATCAACTAACAATAATACTCATTATAAAAGTCTTATAAATAATAAATATCTCTCAGCAATATACTACATTTACAAATTATAACACAAACTTATATTAATATAGCTCTTTTGGTGGATCTGAAGCTGGCATTGTWAGAGGTCCACTGATTTGCAAAAGCAACACACATTYGCTGAACTCAAAGTGTTTGGAAATCACTTAAAMCATCAAAATTCACAAGTTGACTTTGAAACCTCTCACTATCATGCCAGTCTTAGATTCCCAGTAATCCACATTAATTAAATACACTATATATACTATTAGTATAATTTTGCATATGATATAAATAATGTATATAGTATTAAATTTCTAAAGCTTTAAGTTATACATTACTTTCTTTTTGATTTCTTCGATAAATTGTCTAAATTCTGCTGTAAAGAAGGTCTTTTTGGTGGCCTGTAACGAGCATGCTCAGTATATCCACTCTGCAGTCCTCTCGTTCTGACATCACGAACACTTGATGCCGATACAGTGGAAGCAATTCTGTTCTTTGGGCCTCCATAGGGCTGCCAGGTTTCTAACGAGAACAAACGRCCAGCCCTTCCAGGACGATAATTATCCGTTGAAATGAGACCTGGGTTAGGTGGTCTTTGATTATTTTCCCTTACACGCATTGCAACCTCATCTAGTCGACGTTGACTGACATTTGAAGAAGTTCTATTTGSATGTGTTGTGTGTAGTCTATCATTCACTGAAGAGGCATTTCCTCTGCCACTGATATTGTTACTTTGGCCAGTTGTTTGTACTGCCTTAGCAGAACTTATGGTAGCTTCATTCTTTTTAGAACTCTTATTATTCTTGTTTCTGCCTTGGCTTACTGTCTGTGGAGTGTTGGTTGAGCATGTCCTAACATCTCTACTAGTGCTTGAATGTGTAGACATACTTGTACAGCTAGTGTGGCCATTTGTATTTGAGCTGTGCACCAATGTACTAGTTTTCTTTGTAGAATTGTGCAGTGATGTATAATTTTCTTGACCAGTGYTGGTTGAGCAGGATCTATCGTTAGTACTAGATCTTGTATGTGTAGAGGTACTTTTACTAGCATTGTGATTTGTAGAGGAACTGTGCACCGATGTACTAGTTGCTTTTGTTGAACTGTGGACTTCTGTATTTGTTCTCTTTGCAGAACTTTGGTTAATATGTTGAGTATAAGTATGTGTACCACATCCACTTCTCTCCTCTAACACTTTCACAGAAGATCCAAACCGTACTTTTTTGATGCTTCCCTCGTCTGAATCACTTGTCAATCGTCTCTTGCTTACTGCTGTTTTAGGTTTGTCTTGAGCAGATGTTACAGTACTGATGTCTTTAYGTGATGCCTTAAGTTCTTCATTCTTTGTAGTTGTTTGTGCATGCTGAGGTTTGCTGTAAAACAGAAAGTTACAATTATAAGAACATTTACTGTCAAAACAGGTTTATATGAAGAGTGAACAATACTGCAAAGTGAAAAACATTAAATTTAAAAAAAATTAGTTTAAAAGAAACCAAGGAGGAGAGAATAGAATGCGAGAACAGTAACAGGAATTAAAAAAGAACAAAATAAGAGAAAAGGAAAGCAGGAAGGCATAAATGTAAGGTGGAAAATATGGGGAAATATACTAGGATACAAAAATAGCAACAGCAGCAGCAGCAACAACAACAACAGCAACAATAACAACAGCAACAACAACAGCAGCAGCAGCAACAACAGCAGCAACAACAGCAACAACAGCAACAACAACAGCAACAACAATAGCAGCAACAACAATAGCAGCAACAACAACAACAGCAGCAACAACATAAGCAACAACAACATCAACAGCAGCAACAACAACAATAACAGCAGCAGCAGCAACAACAATAACAGCAGTAACAACAGCAACAACACAAGCAACAACAACAACAGCAATAACAACAGCAGCAATAAGAACAGCATCAACCACAAAAGCAACAAGAGCAAGAAGAGCAACAAGAACAGCAGCAACAACACCAGCAACAGCAACAACAACAGAAACAACAACAGCAACAACAGCAACAACAACAGCAACAACAGCAACAACAACATTAGCAATAATAACAGCAAAACAGTAAGAACTGCAGCAACCACAACAACAACAGCAACAACAACAACAACAACTGCAGCAGCAACAACAACAGCAGCAGCAGCAACAACAACAGCAACAACAACAGCAAAAGCAACAACATTAGCAACAATAACAGCAGCAGCAACAACAACATCAGCAATAAGAACTGTAGCAACCACAACAACAACAGCAACAACAACAACAACAACAACAGCAACAACAACAACAGATGCTTAGAAAGGAAAACACCAGCCAAGAGAGAGATGGAAACAATAGAATAGATTGACGAAGAGAAAGGGATAGACAAGGGTATAAGAAGAGGAAGAATAAATATGAGAAAAACAAGGTAAGGAGTAAACCAAAATTTATATCAATTCACTTACCTAATGGATGATGAATGCCTTGGCCGATGAGAGTCACTTCTCTTATTGACACTACYRCTGTTGTGGACATGTGCACTRGCACTGTGACTGCCAGAAGAATTGWTATGGCWGGTRGAAGACTGTCTTATGGGAGAGTTCATGACATTGATGGCTCGTTTGACATCATCAACCGAGTCAACCTCATAATGCAACATTCTATGCTTCCCATCCTCTATAAGCTTCTTCCAAATTGAGTCTGATTTCTAAAATGAATWCAAGATAATGATTATTATCAGAGAGTTTAAGCATCATGTTAACGGCAAACKGCTAACGGCAGAGCTGGACCAATGACCTACRAATTTTYGTGCCTGACCTYGYGCTTTTGGTAGTCATTTGAAAGAGCGGCTTTTCACGATTATGGCAACCCCAAACTAACCCACTCTTGCATTGAAACTGCAAAGTCAAACTCCAAAAAAGCAGATCGCATGATCTTTTCTGCTGTTTGCTGTGAACGTCATGCTAAACCTCTCTATTATATTGTTGATTATCTTCTGCATCAATCCTCATGTTTTAAATTAAAATTTCATAGCTGTTGTTGAACAAGGATGGATTCATCATTTGTTTGTAATAGTATATGTGAAATAATAATGTGTCTCACCTCTAGCGAGTCCAGATTMCCAAAGACGTACAATGCATGTCTTGCACGGGTAAGAGCAACATTCAAACGATTAGGACAATCAAGGAATCTGAAGATGAAAATACAGATTACTTTTTAAAATACCACCTTGTATGCATGGTGCAGACTTATATGCGTAATTTAAAAGAACATTGCTGGGTTGCAGAAAGCTAAATGGCAAGGGATCTTGGATACTCAGAAATTCAAATTGTATTTGCCTAAACCTTTTAAGCTTTAATGCCATTACTTGTATACACCATTTTATTCAGTGCAGGCAATCTCTCTTCACAGAAACACCATTATACTCATATTTGTTTGCCCATGCTACCTTTTAGTTTTGATGACATAACCATTTTGAGCCAACTATGTTTTCTCAATTAGGTTTAGATTTATGGTCATATATTGAGGTGTTTTGTTGAGAATATTATTCAAGTTCTCACCCAATATTTCTGGCAGAACGTACACATGACATGATTATCACATTCTTTTCACGACCCTGTGAAAAATTATGAGGAAAGGTTAAAAATGGAAGTATATATTTCTAGTGAATGTCAAAAATGTTGTAATACTCAGGATTGTTGATGCATGTACTCTATGCTTTTTTGACAAATATCATGATCTTACGTTGAAGAAACAGACATTTGCATTACGAGGGATGGATTGATAAATGGATTGTTGGATGATTTGAATAATTATGTTAGTGATTTATACAGTACTAGTTTTGAACTGCAGAAAATAAAGTGAAAGTATTGATATAGGAAAAATCTCCCCTTTTCTTGCCCCCATTCTCCCTCTTTTGACTCCTCAAAAAGACAGGAAGCCCGTGATTCTTAGTGATGCCTTCAGAGGAAGCTATGTGACAGTAACTGATGCAACTGTTGTGGGGCCCCATTCATTTGCACTCAACATTTCACTTAGTACATAAATRTGGGAAATAAAAAGAGTATGAAAAATGAATTACAATAAATGCTAAAAAGATTAAAGTAATACTCAATATATTCATTTAGCATGACAAAACTCATGATAATGAATTACCTGAAAGCCATCAACTGTGTTAACTTCAATGTTGTGGAGCACTTCTCCACTGCAATATAAAATGAATTTTTTTTAATAATAATACAATTTTAATCTTTTTTAAATGATAATAGTACATACATTAATTACAAATTATAGATCCAAGAAGTCTTCATTGATCCTAGGGTAATTTTCATTTGACCAAGAAATATTATCATATTTACTACTTTACTATKTTCAAGATGGTGCAGGGAACCATGAATGAGACTATTAAAGAGTTTAAGCATCATGTTAATGGATAATGGCTAACGGCAGAGCTGAACCAATGACCTAAGAATTTTGTGCCTGACCTTGTGCTTTTGGTAGTCATTTGAAAGAGCAACTTTTCACAATTATGGCAACCCCAAACTAACCCGCTCTCGCGTTGAAACTGCAACGTTAAACTCCAAAAAAGCAGATCATGTGATCTTTTCTGCCGTTTGCCGTGAACGTCATGCTAAACCTCTCTATTATCTATATATTGACCTGTAGCGTAGTAGTTTCCTCAGTTCCATTCGCTGTGAGGAATATGGTGTAATGATACCAATATCGTTTGGTTTCAAGCTGTTTTGTATCAGACACTGACACAGTTGAGTTATTAAATTCGCTTCCTTCAAATTACAAATCGACCTGAAGTGAAAAAAACAGTAATAAAGAACTTTGTCAGCTAAAATGACGCACTGCAAAACCATATATTTCTAGCGAATGTCAAAAATGTTGTTCAATGTCATTGTTGTATGTAATACTCAGGATTGTTGATGCATGTACTCCATGCTTTTTTGACATATATCATCTTCTTATGATGAAGAAACAGACATTTATTATGTATTTTGCTTATCAATAGGCAGTGGCTAACTCGAAAGCTAAGCTCCTTTAGCCACTGCACACTTTCTCCAATAACAAACATGTAATTCCCCATAATTATCTTTAATMDATKAAYAATATTCCTTGTAAAATAAGTATATATGTGTGTAAAATAAAAATTGAATTGAATTGAATTGAATTATGACATGAATGAATGAACCGTACTGGGAACGCTTTCTGTGCGCGTCGACGATCACAAAATACGTGGYGTTTCTTGCACTTGTGATCAAAATTCTTTAAAAAACGATTCCATAGAAAGATGCGCACAAAAACGGATTTTTGCCATCACAAAAACGCAAAATTCTAGTAGCGATCATTAGCTTGTGACGAATGTTTTAACAATTATAGCAGTCATGACAAATATAGTAATTTGACGCTACAAATGTGTTTCTAAACGTATACGATCTGTGTCTTTTTTAATGAATAGTATCGCGTTGAACGTTGAACATCGCGTATGTCGTTTGACGTCATAAACGCGGATTTTGCTTAGAGCGCGCGTAAAGCTCGGCGGTTCTGGGAAAGCCATGCATGCAGTTTTTCGTTGAATGATGTCATAGACGTGAGGTACGAAACAGACGCTTGACGTCATAAAGGAATGAAAACATCGTCATTTCTGCGCATGTCATGCACGCAGGTTTTGGATCAACGATGTCATAGACGTGACGATGACGAAAAAGACGTTTGACGTCATAAAGGAATGAAAACGAAGGCATTTCTGCGCATGTCATGCACGCAGGTTTTAGATCAATGATGTCATAGACATGACGATGACGAAACAGACGCTTGACGTCATAAAGGAATGAAAACGAAGGCATTTCTGCGCATGTCATGCACGCAGGTTTTAGATCAATGATGTCATAGACATGACGATGACGAAACAGACGCTTGACGTCATAAAGGAATGAAAACGAAGGCATTTCTGCGCATGTCATGCATGCAGGTTTTAGATCAATGATGTCATAGACGTGACTATGACGAAACAGACGCTTGACGTCATAAAGGAATGAAAACGAAGGCATTTCTGCGCATGTCATGCATGCAGGTTTTAGATCAATGATGTCATAGACGTGACTATGACGAAACAGACGCTTGACGTCATAAAGGAATGAAAACGAAGGCATTTCTGTGCATGTCATGCATGCAGGTTTTAGATCAATGATGTCATAGACGTAGCAATGACGAAATAGACGTTTGACGTCATAAATAATACAAAAGTCGGTGTAGTTCCTGCGCATGTCATGCATGCCGGGTTTTTTTGACGAATGA